GTAACCTTTCCATTGTAGAGATCGGACAACCTCTTCTCCAGCTCCTCCAGGCTGACGACCTCCACCCTATTTCTGTCGTTCTCAGCGATGGCCCCCCAAGCATCTTTGGGCTCTTTGTCCCCCAGACAGCAGGCAGCTGACCAGATGTGGCTGGGTCTGTTCACCCTGTTGTTGGATACGTAGGTGTTCCCATGCACAGCACCTGTGATCACGTAGGTGGTGTTACAGCCCTGGGTCTTTTGGGGCATTGTTTTATACTCGTACTTGTTCCACTTGTCATTGTTGAGAGTCTTGTCCTGGGGCACTGCGTTGGTGAGAGTGAAGGTAGCCATCATTCTCTCTTTACTGAACTGATGGCCACTGGGGCACAAATGGCCACGGTCCAAATCCTTTAGTCGGTTGTAGTCATCAGGAATAGCTTGGCTCTCTTTGATTTGGTCTAAGGTGAATATGTTTTCATTTGTGAGGACCCAATCGAATTTCATGTCTGGAAGACTATTTCTATCTATGAGCTGGACAGGGAAAGAGAAAGAGGTGTTAGAATGGGAGTAATGGAGAAGATTACCATGGAGCAGAAGTCTCTGATGGTCAAGATGCCATTTTTTGTCATTAAAGTGTTTAAAAACATAAGAATCTGAGACAAACCATACACATGCCCCTCCTGCATGAATACAAGAGCTTTAAAGAGCAAGCAGCTCAGAATCTGACTGCTCTCAGTTTGATTTGTGATCTTTGTGATCCAGCCTGCAGCCTTTGCTGGGAGCATGCATGCATGCACAAGACAAGGAGCATTTCCACTCCTGGGACTGAAAGGTGAATTTGGTGATTCATCTCCCCTGCCAAATCTGCTTCCCTTTCCTCCTGTCTCCACAGCCCAAATCTGCCCAGGGCTCTCCCTGGATCCCCTCATACCACACTGTGATTATGTGATTTTATGTGTGGCTGCTACAGGTGTACTCCAGTCTTGGAACACCAGGATTATAACCCCATACACAGGGAGATGTGTCAGCAAATCAGTCCCAGAGCTGAGGTTTCCATGAGACTGCTGCACTTGATTCAAGGATGAACAGTTTTGCTCAGTAAGCAAAAAGATCTCAGCGTGAATGGAATCTGTTACAGCAGTGTTGAGAATATCTGTTGAGAATATCAGTGTTTAGCTGATCTGGGCCAGGGAGAATTTTCTGCAGCATTGCTGAAAAGTAGTTAGAAATGATCAGCCTCTGAGAGGAGCCTGTAACTCCAAAAGAGTCCTGGGGAAACGAAATACTCCAAAAATGCCTCTGGAGAAAGTTAAGAAAAATGAAAGATTTTTTGGTTGTCCAGGGTCCAAGATCCAGGAAGAAAATGCCAGGTTGGACAGGACTTGGAGCATGCTGGTCTAATGGGAATAGGCCTGGCCCATGCAGGAGAGTTGGATTGAGATGGTCTTTAAGGTTCCTTCCAACACAAGCCATTCAATGATTCTCCAAAAATACAGAATGTGGAGGATGCAGTGGTGCAAGACCTGAGTAGTTGCCCAAGTTCCTATGCATAAGGTAAAAAGATTATTTTTTCTCATAACTTCAAATCATTTAGTTTATCTTTACAGAAACAGATTTAGCCTTCCTTTGGAGTAGGGCATGTAGCTTCCTTCTCTGGCTCACCTTCCCCCAAATGCCATCCTGCTACTCTGTCCTTACCGATGACAGGAATTGCTTCCTTTTCTCTCCTGCAAGTGATCTGGCCTGTTTTACTGAGGTTTGTCTGAAGGACATTTGTGAGGCCTCTAGAGCTTGTGGAGTTCTGTCTGTCTACTGGATCCTTCTGGACCAAGCCTGAGCCAAAGGTGCTCAGGGATCACAGCCCATGGATGGAGATCACACCCGTCTGAATGGACCAACACTGATGCTCCTCCGTGGAGACCCTGGGGGGCCATTCCCTGGTTTAGGGAGACACTAGAAACGTTCCCCAAAAGCTGTTAGACCCCATTGGCTCCTTCCCATGTTCCTATGTCGGTTCCTATGCCCCTGAGCCACACCTCCCTGTTCCCTGATTGGCCCTCATCTTTGCACTGCCCTGAGACCAAGCTGACCCCCAGGCCCCTTGGCAGGCCGAAATTTCCACCCTGTATGTGTGGGTGCTGGGACCTGATCATCGGCCTGCATGGCTGAATAAAACATCTGTGCATTTTATGCAAAGGCCCCTTAGACTTCCTTACCCTAGACTATGCTAACAGCAATTCAGCTTGCTACACTCCTCAATTTTCAATGCCAGAAATGTCACTCCAGAAGTCCCTCCACAGTTAACCTGACCATCTCATCTCCAGTGTCTTTTCCTGGGGCCATCTCACCCCTTCTGAGTTTCTCCTCCCTTCTCTAACA